TTCTAAATGTTTTCAGGACTCACATCTTCAAACTGATGCTTCAGTTTAGTGCTTTTATGATGCTTTCATTTGTGCGTTCATTGTTACATATTTGCTTACTGGATAATGTATGCTCAAAGTAAATAGCTCTCAAATTGTTTGTTTCCCCTTGATTCTCTGTAGAACATCTTTGCATCTTTATTGTGTGTCTGTTGCATACATCTTGGAGTGTTTGCATCTGCTCTCTTTACTGATAGGGGGGAAAAATAACCTTTTCAGCCAGTATGTTTTGGTAGTCCAAACTCCTTCTTGCCAGAATACTTTCTGCTGTGATGACTTTTCAATTTTTTTAAATTTATGGTATGCCCATTTTTGGAATAATAATTAAATCACTCATTAGACCTAATTGATGATATAAACAGAGGTTCCTTTTTTCCTATTCAAGCTACTCTATGAGACTACTTTTTTCCCTACTGTGATATTCCTATTAATGTTGCATTCGAGTACTTGTAATGTTGTTTGGACTGAAAGAGCTTCCCAGTCTGAGGTATGATCAGTTGTGTTCATTTCCTATGCTGTCACACATTCCCTTGAAGTGCTTCACTGTCCCATATGGAGTGTTGTCAAAGAGCAAAACTTTCTACAAGTAGAAAAATGAGAGATTTCAACATTTCCACGTGAAAGCCCTACCACAGCTTTGGGAACTGTGCGTGTGGCTTTTACTGTGATGAACAGACAAAGGAAGAACTGTAACTTCTTTGAACTACTTTTCAGATAACTCTCAAAATCTAGCAGGAGATTCAAAATGCAGGAGGCAGTCTTCTCTCTTGCAGTTTCTTGCTTGCTTTTGTTCACTCACTGCAGATTCTTTGAAGTCAGGAGCATCTCCAGTAAAGACTTAATATTTTGTCTCTTCACGTTATAAAGTGTTAAGCTTTTGCTTAATTTGGCTTCTGGGTAATTCAGACTCTGATATAGTGCCTGTTCTTTAGTATTGCTCTTCATTAACTATTTTAAGACGAGTGATTATTATTTTTTCTTTACAAATTTAATTTTGGTAAATGGGATTGTGGCATATATCATTCAGTTGGTTAAACTACAGTTGGAATAGCATAGATTGAGAGGTTCTACAAATTCTTGAAAGGGATTAATTTTGTGGTTTTAGAAAACCTCATGTTTAAATTCAAATGATTATTTAGTCTACACTCGCTGTTAGTTCTAGATATTTGTGGGTACAGAATGTAGATTGTTTTTGTACTTTTTAAATAGAAATCAAAGACAATCAAAGCTCCTTCTGCAAATAGAAAGCAGGAAACTACATTTTTGTACACACAAGGTCATTGCTGACTGCTTGTTTGGAAAATGGCAGTATAGGCTTGTATTTAAAGAGCTTTTCAGCTGTATCAACTGATGTAGGACTCCCATCAGCTGTGGTTTTGCCTTTCAGTCATCTTCTGAAATTACTTTATCCCCGATACTGCATGTACAATTCTGGCAGGAACTTCTGGCTTTCTTGTAATAGCCTTTTCTTAGTAGTCTCTGCTTTCTGCTGGCTGGTTTTTCCTTCATTGATATTTAGGATTTTTAGATTTTTGTAAGAGTATAGATTTTTTTCCAGAGCTGCAACAGATATTAGAATGAAATTTGTTCCACAGCCCACACTCTGCATTTGAATTTAATGCTGGGATGATCATACCCTAGTAAATGTAGCTGCACCTCTGGACTAATTATCAAATTTTCTAAGCCATGAAGTCAAGTCTACAATTGTAAGCCTGTTGCTATGTTATGTCAAGCTGGTGGAATTGACTGTTTAGCCACAGTTTATATCAACAACAGTAGTTTGTGTAGTGTAATTATTCTACTCTTTGTTTCTTCCTCTTTATTTCTTCCCACACAGGCATAATTGGCCATAGGGGCAAAACTGGTTTTGTGTTAAACAGCAACACACAGCAAAACAAAACCTGTTGAATAAACCACCTAAGAGGCTTCCATATGAATTACATTCCAAGCTGCAGCCATCCCAGGAGAAGGTGGCAGTTAAAGGTGATGGTGTCTTTTCCCAATGGGTGTGGAAATGTCAGTTACAATGCAGATCTGTTATGAAATAAGGGCTGCGTGTAAACAAATGGGTCAAAACTCTTGTTATGATTAAGACAAACTTTACTTAGTCATTGTACACCTTTGCATTCTAGTATTTCTTAAACTTTTTCCTCAGAGAGGGAGGGGATGTGCTGTTAGGAGATACTTTATTATAGCAAGAGTTTTCAGTCCATTTTTTTTTTGTTATTATCACTGGGGGTGCATTTGTGATCTCTCATCTCGACCATTTTGGTTTTCTTCCACTTCCTGTTCACTGCCCATATCAGAACAGGAAGCTGCTTATCAGAAGCCTGACCATTTTACAGCAGTTCTTTTTCCCTGCTGTGGTCCCCCTTCTCACTCTGAATATCAGGGCCTTTCAGGTGAATGCTCTCTAACTACATTTCTTACTCACTTCTGTCACCCTTTTCATGCCCTCTTCTATTACCTGGTATGGGAGAGTGACTTTCATTCCCACTTCCTTTCCTGATAATGAGAATTAAGACAGGCAAATTGAAGCAAAAGCATTTATGATGTTGAAATCTTTGCCTTTCCTTAAGGAAATTTTTGGAGAACTACCTTTCTCAAATCTGCTGGTAAAGAATGTCAGGTGCTCAGTTATTTCAAGTGTCATCACCCTTGAAATTAATAGTAGGTGTTAGAGTTTGGAGTGGAGTGAGAGAAATCTTATTTGACTGCAGAAAGACCTTTGAGAGGAGATGTGAGTGCTGGTTAAGCACTGGAGGTGGGTGGCTTTAAACAGTCTCATGCTGTCAATAGTTTGGGCTGAGATGTGGTGTCCTGTGGATTGTGTTGCCTTCACAAAGATGTTTGCATGACACTGCAAGTACCGTCTTGCATTGGGTGGAGCTTTGTACATCAGAGGCTTGGAAATCCCAAAAAGGGGAGTTAATTCTCCAGGGCCCTTTGAAGTTTTTGATGCAGGGCTACAGTGACCAGCCCTTTGGTCCTTCAGCAGTTTACTTGCTGGTGATCTCTTTGTGGAACTTGTCACCTCTTCTTCAGCTGAATGATATCCAAATTATGATGGCCCATCTTCTCTTTTTCCTTCTCTTTCCCTCTGTAGCAGATGTAGAATAACCCCAGATTTATTCCCAGTGTGATTTGTGAGCTCCCTGTGATCCAAAGAATACCGAAATGCAAGAGTACTTGCATTTGAGTTTTCTGCCAAGTGCACCTTCAGTGAATATAAGAGTATCCTCTAGATAGACTGTTCACCTAAAATACCCTGTACTAAGTTAATTGATTGATCCGGAGTAAAATGTTCCTATTGAAGGGCTCTTACAGAGCAGTGGGTGGTGTGACCCTGCACTGCTGTATCACCCCAGTGATCTGCAGTTGTCTGGGCTCACTCCTTTGACTGAAAGATTCTGTCTGCACTTGAGTCACAAGCCATGAAATCTGTGTTGAGAACAGTTATTACTAATGTTTAATTCATTGCAAAGTTTAAAAGATGTAGGTGTTGAGGCCATTTTGCACAGGGGCAGAGTCATTGTAGTTCTTAATTAAAGAAGTGTTAGACTGGGGTTGTCACTCCCCAGCCAAAGTGCACAGGCTTACTGAGATGTCTGGTTTAGTGCTCATCATAATGTTTGATCATGTAAATCCATGACCACTGACTGTTTTTCTCATTTTTTGAAAGGTGTTTTGGCTCTTCGTATATGGAGGCTGTTATTTTTGTGGGAATATAACTATAGCTTTACATTTACTTTCTGTAACATACAGTGGAGCTACAGTGCTGTTTGAGAGTAACACTTTGCTTCTCTAGGTGAATGAATATTGCTTTAAAATCTGACCAAAGAATGGTATTTTTTCTGTAATAAATCTTATTTGAGAAATGAGTATGTATATTGAGTAACATTCATGCATAAAGCTACAGTTTAATGTGATAGTTGGGACACAATCCTGGGGCTAGGAAGGGGAGCTCAATTACTTATCTTCTGTTGCTTTATATTTTAAAAAAAGTCAGGCTTTTTTGAAAGGCCTGTCTTCCCTTTCTCTCTGTCTTTGTAATTTAGGTGAGAGGCTTTGAGAGAGTTGCAAATTGATTGGGTAACTCTGAATCAAAAAGCTGTGTGTGAATAAAATAGGGACGGTGTGTGACAGTAGTTACTTCATTCAGAGTCAGTTCTGATGATGCCCTAAACATTTAGTCTAGATAAGAACAACCTACCCTTTCTGTAAAGCTCTGTGCTGGTAGTTGTGTCTTCATTAGTAGACCCAGTTCTGTAGAGATACCATACTCAAATCCATTCTTGCTTTTGGAGTCTCTTCAAAATTTCTGAATAGGAAGTGGAAAATGACCTTGTATAGTTAGTTCTAAAGATACATGAGCAAAACAAGTTCATCTGACATTGATCAGCTTTCATGCAGACAAATAAATGATAATTTTTAAGTGGGCCAGCTAACCTTAGAATCACAAATGCAGCTTTGCCTTGGAAAAGGTGAGAAATTAGAAAGGCCCAGGCTTCAAGTCCTCCAATACTTAATCTCAGATATGTTGATCATTTTTGCTAAAAAGATTTTTTTAAAGCATTCATTTGTAACAGTTTTCTTTCTATGCATCATTCCTTATTCAAGGACCTTGAGATAGCTGACTTTGAAGGCACTAGCAGCAAATGCAGAGCTTTTCTTCCCATTCAACTTCCTTTTCCCCTGTTCCGTCCACTTAATAGCAAGTGTATATTTGATACAACTTCCTGGTAGATTTTTAAAATTAAAGTGCCAGTAGCTATGTTATTTGGAAATTACACATGTTTGAGAGAAGACCACTGGAATGTTGTTACTTTCACCCTGAGATAAAAAAGATAGAATACATTTATGGCTGGGGATGTTTTTACCTCCCTGCTTTGCCTGTCTTGTCTAGGACGCAAGCAGAAAACAATGACAGCTGTACAGTAAGTTCTTGTTTTATTTTGCAGGTTTGTTTTAATGTGGAAGTGGATCCTACAGCATAATGTAAATCAAACAAGCAAAGGTGAGTAGGAGTTTTGTGTTGGTGGGTTTTTTCCCTAAAAATGCCATTTGCACATACTGCTAAACCTGCAGAAAAGTGGTCAGTGAAAATTCTCGTGAAATTTGGATCTTGATTAATATAATGTATGTGTATGTACTGTAATGGTGCAGTGTTACTTCTACAAAACTGAAAGAGGAACAAAAGACATTTCCCCCATTGTTTAATATTATCATGATAATAATGTTTGTCTTCTATAAATTGTTATAGTTAAAAAGCTATCAAGATGTTCTGCTAGCTGTTGAGACAAAATTATGAGCACTTTAAATAATTTGTTCTCGACATACTATCCTCCTGGTTTCAAAGTACTGAAAGTGTACTTTGCTCTGTAAAAGCAGCCTGTTAAACTTGCACTTAATGTATTAATAAATAACTGCGTGGGAAATTTGACCAACTATCAGAATAGCATTTCAAGTTTCAAACAATGAAATTGTGTTGGAATTTTGTCCTCTCTTCCTGTCTTTAGGAACCTATTTGCAAGCTATTTGAAAGACAAAGTTTATGGAGATTTACTCCTGGTGGAACTTAAGTGTTCATTTGCAATTCCAAAGTGTCCATCTAGGAAAAATTTCTTGTAACTAGCATTTTCCTCCTTCCCCCCACCCCCTTTCTCTGTTATTTTGAGAAAAAGAATTAAGAAGCTTATCTTTTTCTCTCCCATTTACTTGCTACTCCAGGAATAATTAGAACTATAAAATTAATCTTGTCTCCATATAATTATGTGAAACATGTAACAATGAACTCTAATCCGTTTTAACTTGAGTCTTTCAAGAGAATCTTTAGGTAAGGCCCCACAGGTCAGGAAGTTCTCTCCTTTGGAGACATGGCATGATGGACTCAGCTGCAGAGACCTCTGTAACAAACCAAAGCTGTCTCCTCAAGTTTCCTGCTTGCTGTTTGACTTATGTGCCATCTCAGAATGCAGCTGCTTGCAGTGACTTGATATTTTGAAGAGGTGCGAGGGAGATCCCATTTGCTTAAATGAGTTTGTTCCTCAATTCCGAGCTCAAATTATTATGTAGACTTAATATTGCCTTGAAATTGTAGTATGTACATATTAAAATAGACATGAACTGCTTTGTTCATGTCTTCTGTTTCACTAAGACTTCTTCAGAGCTGTTGCTGTCAACTTTAAAATACTGATTATAGAAGAGTGCTTTGTGGGGAATTTAAAATAATTCTTCTATTGAGTGCTGATCTTTTGTATAATGTATAACTGATTCAGGACTTTGATTATGAATTGTCTTCTGAACTATGAGCAATTAAAAATAAGCTCTACCACTGTGTTATGTATATACTTACGTGTAGAAGATGTTTACTGCCTTAGCCTGACTTTGCTGATTTCTGAAATGTGCTGCTTTGAGAAAACAAATGAATATAACTCTGCAAAAGGAAATACTTCATCTAAGGAGGAGTGTAAAACAAGAATTATGGCTAGAAAAGAGACTTGAATTGACAGTAAAATTCAATAAAATTCAGTTCAGTAAACTGTGCCTTGTGCCTTCTAATGCTTTCAGTACTTGAAGCTTGCCATTTATGCTCTGTTTCTTTTTAATTTGTGTGGTTATCTAATTGCTCATTTAAATACAAAAAATTAGTTTAAAAGTCTGATGTATAAATAACTGATTGTGTGTTTTAAGCATGAAGTCCTGTGAATGAAACTCTGAAGCCCTTTCATCTTAATGGTGGTTATGTGTGTTTAGTAGGGAAAAGCTGGTCTCTGAGGAGAACACCTGTAGGATTGCATTCACAGCAAGAAAAATGTGTAAAAGAGTAAGTGGAAACAGTGTAATGATGTTTGATCAGTATTGCTATTGCTTGGAAGAGATCTTGAGGTTCCCAGAGTTCAGTAAAAATGACAACTGAATAGTCTGTAAGTCAGTGAAATTATTGTGCTTTATTAGGGAGCAGAACACAACCCAGATGCAGTTCTGTGAATTTGGGGGTACCACAGCTGCATTGCATTGCAGTGTGTATGGCTGCTTCTAGTCAGGTGACTGAAAAAAACCCCATAGAATAGAAGAGCTGAAAAAGGTTCAGAGAGGGGCAGCAGGGATGGCTGAAAGAGTTTTAAAATGTCTTGTGTTAGCAGAGCATTGCTCATATTTGGCAGCTGCAGGAACGTTTTTCAGTCTGTATGTTATGCACGTGGGGAATAGCTGGATTTGCAAATCCAAATTTCACCACCACTTGGTGGCAGTACCTGGCTTCAAAAGGACTTGTCTCTGATCAGATAAGGTGGCTGATCCTGTAAAACTATAGGTTAATGAGGAGTAGATTAGTTTTTAAATTTCTGAAAGTTAGTTATGTGTTTTAGAAATGAAAATACTTTTTTATTTAACCCACTGGAAGGATTTGCATTTGTATGTCTCTATGGAAAATCTAGCTATCATGTCTAATGCACAATTTAAGAGTATTGCTTGTGTTAATAGTATTCTCAGAAGATGTATTTAATGTTCCCCAGTTGAATTATTTTAGCATTTACTTCTAGCATTTTGCTTCAGTTGAGTAGTTTAGTTCAAATAATTTTAGAACATAAAATTTGCTTCATGGTAGAATTCTTTATAGTGCTGCATTCTGCAGTTTAATAGAGAACTGTCAAAGCTTTTTTGCCTTATGAAACGTTCTCTAGATTTTTACTTTTTTATTTATTCATGTAAATTTTAGGAAAAGATTCCCCAGTGGATTTTTCTGTCAACAAAGCTAGTAAAAGTTTGTGTCCTTACCCATAGTGGCCTCGTGACTGTGCTGATTCACTGCTGTTTGGGTCCCCAGCCTTTTAAACTGGATAGTGAAATGGTTGATGAAGTGTGAATGGAGGAACTTGGGAGAGTGGAAGAAGGCAGCAATTATTTAAACTGCCTTTGCTTCAAAGAAAATTCCAGTGTAATTCCAATGAATAACCCAGTAATTTGACAGTATATGGTGCCATGTTGAAAATACTTCCTCTTCTCTGCAAGCCAAAATCTGCAGTGGTCAGCAGGTTCTTTAATTTTAGTGTAATGCCCCATGTAAGGACTGTAGTGGTGAATTTAAAGTCTGGAGGAGTGCAGATACTTTCCTACACCTGGTGTCTTTGTGAAATGTCTCACTTGGTGTGACTGGAGAGGAGCATTGCTGGTGGCTGTGGCTTCTGTAGGGAGGAAATACTTTTATTGTATTGCCTGAAGAGACTGTATTGTATTGCTGAGGAGCCACTCTTGAGGTGTGACACATCAGGAAGGTATTCAAGTGTATGGTGGTGAAGAAGAAGGATTCTTCCTGTGTAAAATCTAAAATCGTAGAAATACAACTAGAAAATGAGGTGGGACTTGAAAAATGCGTGTTTATAAATTTGAGTGTGATTATAGCACTCTACTTAGTAATAATGTTATTTTATTTAGTGAGAGAACTCTGGAAAAGAGGATCCCTTGGAAAAGAGGTAGAAGAGAGAAGAGCATTAAATTATATATATTAAATTTGCTGTCAATATATTCTGCATAACTAGAGATAGAGAGAACATGCTTTTACCATATCCCTAATAATTTTTGTGTAATTTTCTCCAGCTGTCAGAATGATAAATTCAAAGTTGGTAGTTGGAAACCATTTTTAAAATACTTTCATACCTATATTGAAGTTAAGAAGAGAAATAGTGTGTGTTTTCACAGAACAATAATTTTGTATTTTTAATACTTCTTTGTCTTTATTGGAATCCTGCTAGTCATTACCATGTATGTCTGCATTTAGGACAATTCAAACTATGTTGCACTACTAAAAATCCGAACTAGAGAGCTGCAGGAACATGAAGACAAGTACCTGGCTGTCCTCTATGAACAGGGCTGTGGAATTCTGGGCAGGAGTTAGAGAGCCTGTGAGGCTGCCAGGCAGTGGGTGACTGTTCTTAAGTTAATAGATTCAACATCTTGGTTTTGTGTTCTGGCTAGTCATCTCTTAAAAATACCTAGTTCATTTTCACCTGTCCATTAAACTGTCTTAAACTGCTGCATGAGCAGTTAAAACCAGAGGAGTATTTTCTGTAGTGATACATGTGGTTCTTGTCACACTTAAATTGTACTGTCATTTATTATTATTGATTTCAGTATTGAATTTTATCATGATGCCCCCCATTGTGACTAACTGGTTATTTCCCCAAGCAAATCAATACTAGAGGAGTAAGATTAAGAGTGGTTGGTGGCAATAATGGAATTCTCTTTTGTGATTTCTTATTGTATGGTGGTTATTCTTAAGTTTTGTTCCGTTTTCTTTCACATGAGATGGTAACATATCATTCTTAGATGTTTTAGACCAGAAATCACTTTTCTGAAATTTTGACATTTTAAAGAAATTTTTTGTTTCCTTACTGTTCCTGACAGAGAGCTTTTGAAGACATTGTTGCATTAGGAACTAGGCTTAAGGAAAATAACTTTCTGAAAAAGTGTGCTTTGGGTTTGATCTTCCCAATTATAATCTTACTGAAAAGATAAGCTGCTTTTGTATGACTGCTCTATAACTGAGAATTTCTCTGTGATCACCTTTTTCCACAGATATTTGACAACTCAGTGAACTTTCTAACAGTATTATAAAAGGTTATACTGTGGATGGCAGTAACTTTATATTTATTTAGGTATAATACAAATGTTGTATTGGTAATATTTTGTACTGCTTTAAAAAAATTTTTATATGGCGGTCTAGTTAGCTATAGGAGTTCTCCAGTGTTCGTATTGTTATGTGAACAGCTGTGGATTTGAATTGCATTGAAGAGAACTAGTTTTGAATGGAACTCTTCATGTTGTAGTTAGATTAATAACTGTGGACTGTGTGTCGAGCAGGTGGGGAGGGCAGTACTCGTGGTGTTAGGCATATAAAACAAGCTGTCTCTTCACTGCAGAAGTTTGAAACAATGCAGAAGTGTTCATTTGTAGATTTCAAAGCTAAGTAAGGTGGTCTACAAATAATGCTTCAGCTATGCAGAAGGAAATGTATTTTCAGCAACTTAATTTGCAAACACAAATAGAAGCTGAGGGAAGGCAAGGTGAGTCACGGACTCACCTCTAGTTGTCAGGCCTTGTGGTTTTATTTCCATCTGGAGGGTGGAGTGGGATAGCTTTTTAAAAAAAAATAAGCTGGAAAACAAGTAATAGGTATTCTTCTAATTATCAGAGTATCCTGATTTTATTGATTTGGGCCATTAATATTGCTAGATAACATCCTAAGCTCCAGAGGCATAAACACTGTGCGTTACTGTATGGAGGAGGCAAAAATATTGTGCAGCTGAATTCTAAGGTTGTTCTTTCTTTCTCAAGATGTGGCTGGTTTGTGCTGGTACACTACTAGTTCCTCTATTACTCTGTACAAACCTTCGTTTTCCAGAGGTTCTTAAACCTTTCTCTTTTGGCAGAAGTTCTGTGTTTGATATTTGCCATGATTAAGGTTTTAAAGCATAGACTGATGGTGCAAAATGGAAGAAGATGCTTTTTTAGTCCTGTACCATGATGTACTTAAACTCTCTCTGGTCTTCTGTTTGTTGCCTAAAAATCTGTGACTTTGGTTCCAACACCTTTAATACAATCTGTCACTTGAGAAAGCTTTATTACAGGGACACTTGTGGAAAAATGGTAGGTTTTGTTAGTTCTCTCTGTTTACATAATGAAGTCTCTAAGACAAATCTAAATGGGAGCAGTGCAAACTTGAAGCACCTTTCCTATGTCTTGAATATTTGAACAATCCCTTGAGTGTCCTGGATATTCACATATCTGCTTAAAGAACTTGACTTATGAGAAGTTATTTAGCACAGGACAAGTATGTTTTTGCCTTTGTTACAGCACTGCTGAAAGACACTGTATTTCTTCAGTTTCTTTAACTAGGCTGATGAAATTCAAAGCATTTAGGAGATGGCTTCTAAGTGTTTGTGCTGCTTAATAGTTGCTCTGTGCTTTTAATTCATTGGCTCACATTTATGAATTTAGTGATAAACTTGACATCAGAACACATAAAGGCACTAAATGCTTTTCACAAACTCAGCCAAATTCTTCTGTCTTAATTTTTGGCTCCAGTGTGCTTTCAAATTTGTTGTAAATCCCTATGAAATGACACTGGGCCTGCACTGAGGTGTAAGCTTTGCTGAGCTAGCATTGCATGAAGGCAGTGCTACTAATTTGGTGTGTGACCCTACTGCATAGTAAAGGTTGTAGTTATGAAATAAGAACTTGAAAAGGTCGTAAACCTACTGGTAATAAATACAATTAATAATGTACATAGAACAATGGATTTAAGTACATTCCTATCAAAAAGAATTATTAATGAACAGAAAGTGGACAGCATAGATCTGATGACAGGAAGGTTGCATCTAATCTGAATTAGTGAATGACCTAGGAAGCCTGCTTGGAGGGATTACCAAATAATTATGTTAATATGCAATTATCACCTCATTTCTTCTGTAGTAACCTCAAGATGTAGTGTAGTAAGGGTGTTATAGCAAGTGCTGATAGTTTGCAAAAATACTGATGTTCAAGATTTTTTAAGACAATAAGATTAGCTTAAGGCATTTAAATTATGATCTGTCAGCTTGAAGATAGATCTGACCTTACACTTTTTTAATGCTCAGACTGTCTGGCCACAGGCAGTCATATCTGCAGAACACATTATGATTTTTAAAACTGATACTTTATGAATAAAAGCAGTATTTAAAATTAGGTAGATTTCAAATCAGTTAATAGAGAGTGGAATGTGGCTTAGGTGAATAAATAATTGGTTTCTTTCTACTTTTGAATATGAAATAATTTCTGTATAGTAAATAGCATAGCATGTAAACCAAGAATAACACTGTTAAGTTCATTGCAGTTATTCTTAGGCTTAACTGAAATAATTGAATTGAACTGAATAATTGAATTTAAATAATTGAATTGGACCTAGACTTTAGATAAAGTGTGTTTCAAAGGTAGGAGCTGGAATTGTGTATACTTGTGTAGGCTTTACCATACACTTTCCATCACTATTTTTATGTGCATGTATCTCCTAGGCATATTGCACTAGATGCTTAAATAAAAATTAGTTCAAACGTCTAGTTGAGGTACTATAGTCCTGGTAGTGGATATGATAAGCAGTATTTCAAGAAATTGGAAGTTTGATCTCAATTTTTAATTTTTCAAATACACCAAGTATTAAATGCTATATATTTTGACACAATTAATAATTTTGTATTCCTGATATGGTATAGAGAAGATAATTTTAAAACTCTGATGGAAGCATGCAAAGTATATTCCATAGCCTTGGTTACATCTTAGTTACAATGAATGATTTTTCTTTCTTTCCCAAGAGACAAGTTAGATGATAACATTTTCTCACAAAACATGGCATTGTGTCTTTAGTTATACCTGTCATTGTTACTGCATAAATTCTGGCATGTGGAGTAGATAATGTAACTGAATTATTGCATCTTAGTTCAGTGTTATCACAAGACCAAATTATTATAATTTAAAAGTACATTTTCTGTTTTCTCTAATGCCTCACTGTTAAAACTGTTAACTTTATTGTTGTTGTCCTGCACAAAAAATAGTGAATTGTACCAACTTGATAGCTGAAAAAATAATAATACATGATGATAAGAATAAAAGTGATAATTAGCTGACAATTATTAAAATTTAGCAGTGATATTATTGATACAGTAAGCATTTCAGGGTTGATTCAAAGACTGAAATTTGTAGGGATACCTGTTTTACCACAGAAGACTTCTAATCATCAATAGTTCCCAATCTCCATAAATACACAGTATGGAGAGGAGTCTCTTATAAGATTGCATTAGGTAATGCTTTAGATATCTCTGGTAACTCTGAGGAGAATTTCAGTTTAATGGTGACCACAGGGTGTCTTAGCCACTTTCTTAACTTCAGCTTTAATACCAATATTCATTAGCAGTATGATTTTGTATGTAGAACAACATAATTTTGTCTTCATCTTGTAAACCTGTGAGCAGTTTTGAGGCGGCATTCTGATAATGAGGATTGCAGGCTCCAAGCAGCACGGTGTTCTCAGCCTGCCTCCCCGCTGTTCAGGGGTACCAGTGAAGTTGCTTTAAATGGGAAGCGTCTGTTCTTCCTCTGAGCCCCTCACACCACAGCAGATGGGTGGAACTTGGAACATGGAAGGTTTTACCTCAGAGGTGGTAACAGTGAAGCCACTCATTAACACTGAATTTACCACTTCGTTAGCAACGTTGCTTCCTGTTGAGCAAAGCTAATACAGGCTCTCAGGTTGACTGAGCAGGCTTTTGTCTGCTTCTGCAGCAATAAACCTAGGAAAATGCACATCTTCCAGGCAAAATTGTCTTACTCAATTTCTTACCAAGGTTTTGTGAACAGTTTTATACTTTGCTGTCTGATACTATATGAAGCCTACATTTCTGAGTTGAAAAATTGCTGGAGCTGTTGTGCATCTTTGTAGGCTTCACTTCTTTTAATTGACTTTTGCATTACTGATTCTTAGCACATGTTTGCACTGCCCATTTCTAACTTAAGGAGGTGATATAAAGGTTCCTGCTGGGTGGTGCATTATCACCATTTTAGGGTGATAGCTTTGGATGTGATCTTATTGGAAGTCGTTATTATAGTGAAAAATGACCCATCTCAAAACAGCAAAGCAAAGAAAAAAAATCTAAGAAGATTTTTTGGCAAGATGAGGAACTGGGTGTCCAGTAGAACATTTGCGTAAAGGTATGTTATAGATAATAATACAATAAAATATTTCACACACTTCAAACATTTATTATGCCTCTGATGTGAGCATTGCTGCATTTCTAAATTGGCTAGTTCAGTGGTGGAGTAACAAGGGAAATACTTTTGTAATTACTTAATTTTTCATTGTATTTGTGCTCCAAATAGAATTACTTTTATCTGCAAAAGTAAGTTACCTTACATTAAGGTTTGTTTCTTACAAACTCAGAAGAGGTTAAGTAATTGTTTTGTCCTTTTGCTGATTTGAAACAAAACAAGTGCAATAAAAGAGAATTTCTGTGATGTTGTACTTAGCTTTGAATTGTGTGGATAGCTGTCATTCTGTTGGGTTTAAAATACTGAACATATTTTAAAATGTTATGTTTGGAGATGAAAATTGTTTAACTAGGTTGTTTTCTCTCCTTAGGAAAAAAGGATGTCCAAAGTGGTCTTCCTGGATTTCGATAAAGGACCATTGCAGGAAGCCATGGATATTAGTTGTGAGTTATAACATCTTAATTCAAAGAGTCTAGGTAATAACTCCTTTTAACTGAGTTCCATTCAAAATGTTAATTAGTAACTGAAACTATGTGATTGCAGGAATCAAATCTCACAAAGTATCAAAGTGAGTAGTACTCTCTAAGGGTAAAATACGTGATTTCTGTAAAATATAGATGTCCTGACTCCCAGGTGTTTTAATGCCTTATGCTGACTGTGTTCTAGGGACCTGTATAAAAAGAGAATGCCAGGGTAGACTAAAGTTTACATTTCTGTTGGTCACACATTGATTTTCATGTGTAGGCAGCTCCTTTGTGCTCACTAAGCATTGAAGAGATGATTAGATGTATGAGTAAGAGTCACTTGTAGAAAGACAAGGCCACCCATGGGGAATTAATATGCAGTAGTTCTCTGTACTGGAAGATATTGTTAGTGTCATGCTCTGGCTTCAACACAGTGACTTCATCTGGTAGGTAGATCCTAGTGAAATGTTTTGTTCTTACAGTATTTTTTCCCCACCTTTGATAAGATGTTGTTTAATTTGCTTATCATTTAAAATAGCCTTATAAGCAAATGGGATTTATTTGTTTTAAAGCAATGAAGGTCCTTTTGTAAGAAGGGAAATGGAAGACATCTAGTTTCCTCAGTGAGTTTGATCCTTTGCTGTGTCTCTGTCACTAATCAGATACTCAAAATCAGCTTCATTGTGTTTTTCCCTTCTGCAGGCTTCCATGCAGCATCAGGTCAGTTGTATGGAAGTACTTCAAAAAAAGTGCTACCTTGAGAAATGTAAAGACTCTTTTAGTTTCCTAAAGAAAGTATGTTAAAAAAAAACCACAACAGAATTGCTAGTAGATGTCTGGGTAGCCTTTACTGCTTACTTTTACTTCTGAAGAACAACTGAAGATAATCTATATTTATGTACATATAGAATGCATTTGCTTTTGTTTTGGCAATCTGATTTTCCCCATCTTGCTTGTGTGTAGGTCTCAGGTTTCTTTGAACTGGGATATTTGTCAGTGACTAGTTTGCTGTATGGTTATTAATATTGCATAGCAAAAAATAGTGGGATTTTTTCTTTCTTCATTGGCTCACTATAAATATTCTGGATCTCCTAAATGAAAAGTAGATTTTTGACAAGTTCAAAACATCTTTTTAGAATACAGTGTGAAGAGAGATCCTGAAGAAGAGCTCTAAATTAAAGTTGTCATTATTTATTTCTGCAATTGTCTGATTTTTTTGTGTTTGTTTTTAGTGTAAATGTACTTAATGGATAGACCAGCAATATGGATGATTTAGAGACAAATACTGAAGTCACTGGTGCTAAAGAAGAAGAAATCCTATGTGATGATAATTTTGTATCTGAGGAAGAAGGTGGCATTCCCAAACCAGAAGAGAGTGACACATCATTTCAGAACAATACATTGACTCTGACTGAGGAGCTATCAAGGGACAGATCTGAAAAAGCCTTAAGTGGAGGCCAGGCTTCTCTGTTTATACACACTGGTGCTCCTACTGTTCCTAGTGAAAACTTTATGTTGTCTAGAGGAGCTGCTGTTAATGGACCAGTTTCACACTCCACCTCAACAAAGACTTCCAATATGAATAAGGGCAGCGTTTCATTAACCACTGGACAGCCTGGAGGTCATCTTGCAGATTCCTGCTCAACTTTGACAGTGGTTCATGATCTGCAGCTGCCTGCAAAGAGTACAACACAGAAATCCAATCAGCACCAGGTTTTATTTTTGTTACCTGATGTAGCACATGCTAAGAACCTGACTCATTCCATTAAAAATCTACCTACCTCTGCTTCAATTGGTTGTGATTCACAGAAAACAGTAGGAAATAGTGTAGATAGCACTTTAGTAGACCAAGTAGAAGTTTGTGAGGATGATAAAAATTTACTATTAAAAGATGATTGTGTCGATACATTAACAAGCATTTCCTCAGGTACAGGTGGCTTCGGATCGGGATGTGATCCCAGCTGGGATCCACAGAAAGAGTTTATACAGTTTCTTATGACTAATGAAGAAACAACAGAGAAGTCTCCCGTTCACTGTAAGGTAGGGCTAGAAAAGAAACGAAAAAGGAAAATGGATGTTAGTAAAATAACACGCTATACTGAAGACTGTTTTGATGATACCAGTTGTATTCCTAGTAAATCAAAACTGTTAAATGTTGAATTCTTAGAGCAGAATGAGGAGCTACAAATAGTAGAACCACAGAAATACTCATTGAGTAAAGTAAAGCCCGAATCTACAGATGAAGAGCTGGAAACTGTTGATGGTATCCAGCAGCTCATTTATAGTCCCACTAGTAACTGTGCAGAAGATACTTCTCCTGTTCACACTAGCACTTTTCTATCCAATACTTTGAAAAACAAATGTGAAGAGAATGATTCTGAACCACCATCTACTTTCAGTACTGATGAACCATCGTTTTATCCCTGTACAAAGTGCAATGTGAATTTTAGAGAGAAGAAACATCTGCATAGGCATATGATGTACCATTTAGATGGGAACAGTCATTTTCGGCATCTCAATGTCCCCAGGCCCTATGCGTGTAGGGAATGCGGAAGGACATTCCGAGATCGTAATTCCCTTCTTAAACATATGATAATTCACCAGGAAAGAAGGCAGAAACTGATGGAAGAAATCCGTGAGCTGAAAGAACTTCAGGATGAGGGTAGGAGTGCACGGTTACAATGCCCACAGTGTGTATTTGGTACCAATTGTCCCAAAACGTTTGTGCAGCATGCAAAGACCCATGAAAAAGATAAAAGATATTACTGTTGTGAGGAATGCAATTTCATGGCTGTGACAGAAAATGAACTGGAATGCCATCGAGGGATCGCTCATGGAGCAGTAGTCAAGTGTTCAATTATTGGTAGTGACTTGTCCCAGAGAAAAACTCAGAAAAAGGCATCCTTGAAAGATCCTTATTTAGGATCCTCAAGAAAGTCATCGACCTATATGTGTAAGCTGTGTCCATTTGCTACTTCGGCTAGAAGCATTTTAAAAAAACACATGGCATATTTGCATTCAGGATCATGCCTTGATCCCTTTGGTAGCCATCTTAGACTAGAGAAAAGAAAAGGCAGTATAATAGAAGAATCTTTAGATTTTCGTAGCAGGACAAAACAGTTGATCAAACATTCTTCTACTTTTCCAAAGAACTCTGCTTTAAAACAGGACGCAAAAAGATCATTTGGCTCTACTTCACAATCCAGTAACTTCGCAAAACTTCACAAGAGACCCTACAGGATACAGAAGGCTCGGAAAAGCGTTTCACAGTCATCTGTAAGTGTGTGCAATCTAAATTCTACAAACAAGAACTTTTTTATTAGAAATAGCATTGACCAAAAACGTAAATGTTTTCATCAAGCAGCAAAGCAGAAAGCTAGTGCCAAAAAAAGTAATTATTTATATAGACACAAATATGAAAACTACAGGATTATTAAAAAATCTAGTGACTCTTACCCTTTGCATTTAAAAAAGGAAGAGTCCAAATCTGTCAGTGCTTTACATTTATTTTCTTCATCAAGTAATAATTGTTTTGTCATGGATTCAAATAGCCTTGATTGCAAAAGGGCAGAAGGCTGTAAAGATCATAGGCATGTAGCTGTAAAACGAGTGGTTAAAGAATCCAAGAGGGAAGGCTCTGTTACAGGAGATGATTTGGATTGCTATCCAGATTTTCTGCATAAAATGACTGTTGTTGTTTTACAGAAACTAAACTCTGCTGAAAAAAAAGACAGCTATGAAACGGAGGATGAAAGTTCATGGGATAATGTTGAACTATGTGATTACACTACACAGTCTGTGGAGGATGAATCTTACAGTGATATTAATCAGGAGCATGTAAACCTATTCCCCATATTCAAAGGTAAAATGGAAGATAATGAAGCTGGTGATAGATCTTCACTTGGTTATGAGCAGAATGATGGCTTTTATTTTGAGTATTACGAAGATGCTGAGGGTAGTAACTTCTTGCATGATTTGCATGATCCTCAGAATTTAGAAAATGTAGGATCAGCATTGCCAAAGCATAATTCAGTTTTCCACTGGACTGATTTGTCGCTTGAAAAGAAATCGTGCCCATACTGTCCAGCAACCTTTGAAACAGGTGTTGGCTTGTCCAATCATGTCAGAGGACATCTTCACAGAGCTGGACTAAGCTATGAAGCCCGTCATGTTGTTTCACCAGAACAGATAGCAACAAGTGACAAAATGCAGCATTTTAAAAGAGCTGGAACAGGGACTCCAGTTAAACGTGTTAGAAAAGGTAAGATTTGGTTTTTTATGTGGGTACGAAGTTGGGTGGACAAAGGGATTTATTGAGCACTGAACAAGGCTCGCTTTAGCTTCTTGTCAAGCCTCTCTTCTTGTGATTTGCAGTTGTCATGTTTCACTGTATATAATTGTCAAAAAACATTGTAATTATTTTCTTTGTAGCGATTGAGAAATCTGAAACTTCCTCTGAGCATACATGTCAGCTGTGTGGTGGCTGGTTCGATACTAAAATTGGATTGTCTAATCATGTGCGAGGACACCTGAAGAGGCTTGGCAAAACCAAGTGGGATGCACACAAGTCTCCCATCTGTGTTCTGAATGAGATGATGCAAAATGAAGAGAAGTATGAAAAAATCCTAAAGGCTTTGAACAGTCGCCGTATTATTCCCAGACCATTTGTTGCTCAGAAATTTGCATCAAATGATGACTTTTTATCTCAGAATGTTATACCTCTTGAAGCATACCATAATGGCTTAAAGACTGAAGATATATCTGTGTCTGCATCGGAGGAAGAAGGGCTGAGTTTCCTAAATGAATGTGATGAAACAAAAGCAGTACTGCATGATGAAAAAAGAAATCAGTCACTTACACTGATAGAACTCCTGAAAAACAAGAGGTTAGGAGAAGAAAGGAATCCTGATATTTCCCCTCAAAAGATTCATAATCAAACTGCAAGAAAGAGGTTTGTTCAGAAATGTGTTCTTCCATTAAATGAAGACAGTCCATTGATGTATCAGCCACAAAAAATGGACTTGACTATGCAGTCAGGTAAGAAGGTGTTTCTTGACAACATTTCCAAAAAAGTCATATAATTCATAGAAAATGTACAACTGCAGAGTATTTTATTTGGGATTCTGTTCATTTAATTCTTGTTTCATTTCCAGAGGACACTTGGCTGCGAGAGGTAGCACAGCAAATTTTTCTGACTTGTTTTTCCTAAAGTGAAAAAACCCATCAGCAGCACTGAAGGGTTTTTGTATGGAATATAGTTCCTGTTCTGCATATGCCTGGGCATGCAAATTGAAAGTGGACACAAAGTGAGCCTCAGTAAAGGAAGAAGACACATCCTGCAGTAAACAAGTTGAAGTGTCTATGCATATTTGGTAGACTAACAGTTCTGAAAAGTTTGGGCTTGCAACCCTGTTTTTGGGTGGTAAAACAGCTGGTTTAGGAATACTGCGTTTAAGTCTTCAAGGTTTGTGCAAGGCAGCATTTGCTCAAACTAACAGAACTGTTGATACCATTATAAATGCATAATACTGCAGATTGGTAAATCACTGTCAACTAATTTTGATGGTTTTAGGCAAAGATACTCTTATAACATAGATTGATTCTTGTTTGTTGCAAATTGTGGCTGCTGTGAGAAACTCATGCTTGCTTAGGGCCTGTCCATCCTGAGTGACAACCTATGCTGGGTCAGGCTTTGCTGGTATGCAGTTGTAGCCAGCAGGTTTCCAATGCACGGCCTCTGACCAATAAGGACCTAGATTGTCCCTCCACTGAGAACTGTGCTAATGAAACAATTCTACAGTCAACTTCCTAGCTACTCTGTATACTAATAGAACAGGCTTTTAGGGTGATGTTTTTAACTTACTTGTCACATGAGAATTATTTCTAGTCTTTGGGAACTCTTACAACATCCCTTTTAATGTGTATGTAGAGCTTGCATTTACCGGTTTCTTGGTTGGACACCACCAATGCTGCAGGATTCTCAAGACTGGAGAGCAGGATCTTATTTTTATACCCCTGGCTTTTTTTTGTGCTGTTTCTTTTCTTGTTATTAACCAGGTTTGTAAAACTGGCAGTGCCTATTACTTTTTCACCTATATTCTTTTCTTTTCTTTAAACAAAAAAATCCCAACAATCTGATGTGCTCGGAAGTTCTTTTAGGGGCTATAAAAGTGTGGCAATAAATTTCTTAAGAAGAGTGGCTTTCTAAAACGACATAGTAGAAGTGGAAAAGAATTACATTTTATGTCTTCTGTATGTCTGTGGTTGTCCCTTAAGACAGGAGATTGCTTAATAAAGGAAGTGTATCTTTGACAGGTTTAATGATTTGAAAAATAATGCTCAAGAATAGTTTGCCAAACCTGACACTGTGTTTTGCTTTCTGTGTAATATTTACTGCTCAATACTAGGTAGAACCTGTTTGGTTATGATGAACAACCAAGTAAAAATAAACATATGCTTGCATAGTACTAACAGTTCTGAATGGGGCCCGATAGTTTTCTGTGGCTGAGGTAACAGAATTTGATAACTAACGCACTGTGCCAGTTGAGTTAATAAGAAAATATTTAACATCAAGTTGAAAATCTTCTTTTTTTCCTAAAAAAGGCAAATATTCCTAATTCTGGTTTTAGTTTTATAAAAGCATTTACCAACAAGTGTTCTTCTTCTGTAACTTGCCTGAAAAAACAGCATGTCTTCTATGGGCTGCTGGAGAATAGCATTCTTTCTTTCCTGCAGAGACTTTTCAGCTGAGTAGGTGTAGCTTTTTCATTTATTCTTCTAATAATTTATTAGTAGAGAACCTGAAATATTAGTTCACCAAAACAATGTATCTTTTGTAAAATGCAGGGAGAAATATGGTGAAGTTGAGCAAGAGATAAGTTATAATGGTTTCTTTGTCTGTAAGTGAGGAATTCAGTATTGTTTCATTGCTTTCGTGTGATAAATAGCATGTTGCTTTGTTTATACTTATTTAGCACAAAGATTTTGGCAAAAAAAAACGTTCAAATCATTTAGTTTCATTATCAATTGTGCATCTAAAGTAATGAATAGAAAATGCACTGAACAAATGTTTTGCCTAACAGCTGTTCACTCGTGTGTTTTACCACCTTTTTCTCTGAGCCTTCAACAGCAGCCTAATTTTAGCATTGAGTGCTTTAGTCTTATGGGTAAAACACTTTTAATTACCACTTTGTCAACTTGACTTTTCAAATTCTCTTTATTGGAAATTCTGAAAGCTCTGAAATTTCTCAACAGAATTGTGCTATTTAAATTGCAGGACTGTATTTTGGAATTAGAGCTTCATTATGTGGAGATCTGTAGGAGCTTGGTAGTAGGTATTAAATGTAGAGTAGCCTACTGGGCTCAAGTTGCCTCCTTTCTGTTCTTTTTCAAATAACATGGTTTGGCTTAAAGCTGTAGGTGGAAAACTATTAACGGTTAACTTGGATCCTTCTAATATACTAAACAATTGCGTCAATGCAGTGAATATATTTTAAACCATCTTTATTGCAGAAAACTTTTTACAACGCTTTGAGAATTTCATTTTTTGAAGAGAGAACTGGATTATAGTTTTCTTTTGAATGATAGGTATGCCTGTGAAGCTTAGAACGTGTGTGCATTGCAATACGACGTTTACAAGTGCTGTTAGCCTGTCCAACCACTTACGCGCTTATGCACGAAAGAAGAGTGCTGGACTTTTGACTGGGACAGGTATGTTTTGTTACAGATGTAAAAGCAAGTCTGTCTATGATACATTTTCTTCATCAGACTGGACAAAAGCATATGTTAATTCAAAATAATTTTGAAGCCTCTGCCGGTAAACAATTTATTTGCCATAAAACTTCAGCAACTTGTAAGAAACCGTATGTTGCTGTTGTCCACTCTCATGTCTGATTTTCATTCTTAGTCTTTGATTTTGGATCCAACATTTAAGGTATGTAAGCAAAACTAAGAGATGGTTGCTTAAATTCATTCTCCTATGATATTGCAACTTCCAAACCAGATAGTTGGCCTTCAAAGGAAGTGTTTCAAAGTATCTCAGAAATGAGAGTGGTGGGGAGGAAAAAGGCAACGATACAGCAAGTAGTTTTTACTGTCTAGTACATACAGTTACAAAGAATACTTCAGTAAAATAGGAAAAGCAAGTCATTTTACACTCTGTATATTTCTAACAACATATGATATGCAGTTGGTTTCATATCTTGTTTGGCTCGCAATCCAAAAACTACCTGCTCTGCCATTGAGTGAGGGTAGTACAGTAGCATTTGGCACTGCTATTAATGTTCTTTATTAAAACACACTTCATTTTGAAATTCTTCTAAAATGCCATATTTTGATTTGTTTTCAGAGACCTGCAGCTTGCTTGGCTGTAGGCAGTTTCTGAGTTTACTTGGATTATTGCTGAGATTAGTGGGACTTCACATGGTCAACAGCAAATTGAGGAGCAGAGATGCAATATAATGAGGAAAATTTGGAGATATGAAGCCTGAAATATTCTGTAATTAAGAAGGGCAACCATCAGTTTTCTGTGTCAACAAACACAGACTTTGACATAATGCTCTTGGAAAATGTGTAATCCTTTTTTGATCTGCAAATGTAATTCATTATGCTAAGAATGACAAACTGAGTAGCAGGCTTTCTCTGTAGAAGGCTGAAAGTAATATTTTTGTAACACAGGCCTGTGGCTGCCAGGTCTTCTGTTGCTTTACATTAGTGCCATAACAAAGCAGATTTGGAAGGAAGTCAGCAGATGCAGTAATAGCTAACATGTAGAAGAATATGCCTTTAGTCAGTGATTCTGAAAATTTTCATATTTATTCAGTAGAAGGCTGATAGTAGTGAACTTCATTTACTACTGCTGGGATTTTATATTAGTCCTGTGGTAAGTTCCTTTTCTTAGAGACTTACTGAGGAAGTATTTTTCAATGGCTATATATTTAAATTGTGCATTAATAACAGTAAATCAATGAAGGAGACACTGGCAAATAGGATAGTACAGAGATTGAATCCTAGACAAGCACTTTGTACCTAGCTTCCCTTTTGCTAAGTGGGAAGAGTGAAGGAAGCTGGTTTAGGTACTTTTGGGGATTTTTGTTTGTTTTCTCTAAGAAACGTATTTTGCTAGTGAAGTAGTTGCATAGTCATGAGAACATATGCCACTTTTCTTACAAGAATGGAAAGAAAACTCATAAGTCTTCTATCATTGGACCTAGAAGTTTGTTTTGAATTAGGTTGGAAACAAAATGGGGTTAGAAACGAGGTTTAAATAAAAGGTTAGAAACAAAAGTTTGGGGGAAAAAATGTTTTGCTCTCAGAAGCTGGAGCTAAGCCAGATAAATAAGTTCTATCATGGATAAAGGCCTGTCGCTGGAACCATTGACTTAAGGAGTAAGTGTTGAGTTCTAGCTGTAACATCATGCAACCAGGGTGTATCTGTAGCAACAGTCATTACTCTGCTGCAACTCTGTGAAGGGTGTAGGCGTTGCTCAGTGACTTCTCACTCAAGCAAGCTTTATGCAAGGCTTGTAGACCAAAAAGTACGCTTTAAACAGTTGTTCTGTTTGATATTTACTTTATCATACAAGTTTTGTGAAGAGAATTATTTTAATGCAAGATTTCACTAGTACACACTAGTTTTTAAGCGCACACAAGTACACTCTTGTTATGAGTGTTACTTTTGAGTAGATCTGATGTTTTCTTATGAAAAGGTGGTTGAGAACAATTTTGAGATGTCTTCAGTTGGGCCTCAGCTACAGGTAAACCTTCAGTGGTCTTCAACCATTGTATGGAGACATTGAGAACATGTTTATGCATGTTGCTTCTCATTAAGCCTTTCTTATGTCTTCTAAAGCAAACATAACTACCAAAAATAAATCACATCAGTTGAATAATTATCTCTCTTTCTTGCTGTAATAAAATAATGTCTAAACATGAACACTTGATTATCTGGCAGTTGATATGGGACCTGTCTAAGCACTACTATTTATTAGGAGAAATAACATGAGAAATACAAGATCCCTGCATGCCACCAAAGTGAGGCCTTTCCCAGCATTACATTAGCTTATGTACTAGTCTCAGATTTTCCATTTGTCTGCACGTGTTTTTGATACTGACTGTTACCATATTGCTCTTCCAGCAGGTGTCCTGCTTCTTCAGTCAGCAATGTCATCATATTTAGTTAAATCTTAGCCTATTTTTTTTTTCAAATGCAGCTCAACAGTTTTAGCAGTATAGTAGACATAGTTAAGCATAATGGTAACTTTGGAGAATGGACTGAAGAAAAACATCCTAGAAGTGAAAGTTCCTAGGCTGTTGGCTGTTTGAGGTTAATCTTTATTAAACTTTATTTGTGCCTGTACCAATGCATTAGATCCACTGTAGAGCAAATACCTGTGTCTTCAGATGTCTGGCTGGAATTATTTTTGTTGTTGTTATTCAGTCCAGTTTTCAACAGTGTAATTGCTCATCTTGAATAGATGTTAAATTTCCTTTTTATACCTGTTTTGATGTATAGCAACACATTGGTGTTTCTCAGAGCAGGTGATCAACTTGCTTCTTTCTTCTGAGTATCTTCAGAGCATTGAACAAACCTACACAAAATCTTCAAAATGCATCTCACTCTTCTTTGTACAGTTGTATATTCAGCTTCCTTTCTTTTTTTCTCTCTGGGCTTCTCTTGCTCCCTCCTGCCCTGGCTCTCCCCAAGTCTCTTGATTCTTTTCTTGCACCCTGGCTTTTTACATCTTCTCTTTGTTGACCCTGTTCACATACTCAGTCTTTTCTTACTGGCTTTCATCTTCTGGAAATCACCACTTTCTTCTTTGGTCTCTGCTTCTATAGGTGGAGACTGCTTTGTCAGAAGTTTGGGAGGGAACAGTAAAGTACAGAGCAAGGAGTCTGGCCTTCAAGCCGACAGTGTGACTGCGGTAGTGGTTCATGAGGGCTGCTACATGTTCAAATGATTTCAAACGTTGTTTTGTCAAACTTGTAGCTTTGGGACGTTTGTGGTGGAAGCATATCAAGTATGCAGGAATCTGAGATCCACTGGCTTTGTGTGTCATTGTTCTGTGCTGTTACAGTCATAATGAATCAACTGGCATGATGAGCTCATTTTCAGCATCTTATAAAATCCTACAACGAGCAAATGATAGGAGGGGTTTATTTAATGTACTTCACTGTGCAGTAGTGATGAGGATAGATAGCAAGTGATTGAATTGGAAAAGTTAGTGATTAAATATACAAGAAAGATAGTTCATTATTTTTTACTTGGCAGTGTTTTCAAATGTTTAATTAGTTCCATTTCTGTGTCAAATTATTCAACTTGTTTTAGCTTATGTACACTTTGACAAAAGTAATGAAGTCCGAATAAAAGACCCAGCTTCAGTTTTCTTGAAATCAGAAGCATTTCCTGTTGGGGACATCAGGAAGCAGAGCATTTTAATTTGGAACTGCAGACCAAATGTCACGGCATGAAAGGGCATCTAATTGTGACCTGTCTAGTTCACTTAGGCATGCTCATTGGAACTTCCCGTGTCCATCTGCTTGTAGTCTTTCTTGATAAGTCATCACAGAGGTTTTTGTATGCAGTGCTTTTACCTAGCATATATTTTTCAAAGTAGTGTGCTCTGAAATTGTATGTAAGTATCTCAAGTAGAATGCTCCAAAGTTTGATAGTCTTTTGTTTTAAATGGGTTGTTTCTCCACCATGTTGTATCAGCAGTTTGAGGATGTTGTGTGACTAGTTGTTTACAAGAAGCTTTTCAGTTATCAGTTAGGAAACACCAGGTGGCCAAACTTGAAAGAGAGTTCTTCCAAAAAGAAGTAGGCCTTTGTGGAGAGTGAGGAATGATAGTTTGGAAGCTGTTATAACTACAGAGTAGCTGTTAATGATCAATAGTTCCTATCTCTCTGTAGCAATTTGCTGCAGTTTCCGTGCAGCTTACTAGACCTAATTTATCCTTGGTCTCTTCCCAGACATGATAAAAGACTTTCTGAGGAGGTCATGTTTTGTTACAGTAAAGGCATAGAAAATGCAGGAACTGAGTTTTGGTCGGAACATGGCTACTTTATGGGGAGGCAATGGCTGAGGTAATTGTGTGATTTAGTTGATGTTTGCAACTTCTTGTAAGCATTGTATCAACAGAGTACTCAAGTGTGTGCATGTGACTGTATTTAAACTTGTTGTTCTCTGGATAGACAAAATGAAATTAATGTGATGGTTACTGGTACACATGCCTCATAACTGCTGTTTGAATTGTAGTTTTCAATGAGCTTTACTCAGATATTCCTCCTTCTTCACTCACTTTCCATCTTCACTGGAGTAACTTCAAAACATACTGGTGCTGCTTTGAGCTCCCTAAAATGTAAAAGAATATGTTCACTATCTCAGAAGATGAAGGGAAAAAAAATGACCCTTGCAGAACCCAGGATTTGTGTTCTTAGTGTTTTCTGTCTTTTATAACAGCTTCTTCCTTGGGCAAATTACTTTCAAATTTAGCTAAGTTGCTGTGAGAATTCATAGCATAATCTGAGTCTTTTTTCGTGGTCTTTTACTGTGGTATTTTCTTCTCTTTGTTTTATAATTTCCTTATATGGAGTCTCCATCGTAAATGGCTGAAAGAACATGCCCTTGCTTTTGTTTTCCTTGTTTTCTCACTGTTCATAGAAAAGGTAACTTTCAAGGAAGTAGAAACTACCTCTCCTGCTTCATTATGGCAATTTCTGTCAGTGTTGCTGTTGTTTGATTGCACAGTACTTCAGAGGGGTTTTTTCCTTAGAAGATTATACACACACACGCACACACAAACCCATCAGGCGTCAGCAGTCTGTTGCAGAAGACCAACGCAGGTCTTGTAGGAAAGGGAAAGCTCTCTGAAATGCTCCAGATGCATGTGAGTAGAATCAAATTTCTTGATGAGAATGAATGTCTTTGCCAACCTCAAGGAAATCAGCAAGTTCTTGTTCCAAGTGCAGGTTGGCCTCTCTAGGAGGAGTCTGTTGTCACTATTGCTTCTTTTTTTTCCACTCATATAAACTGACATCAACTAACTTGTCATCAGGTGCAGCTCATGGACACGTTTGCATTCAGGTAATACCAGCTTCTGTTTCCCTTCTCCCCATGATGTTCCAGAAGATGGCAAAGGCAAAGCTTTTGCTGCAGTAACTGCTGCAGATAAGTTGTGCCTCATACAAACAGTTCTCTTTAAAACATGGGTGTCTGTGTTCCAGTGTTTTATCTGCTTACATTGCTGATGGTGTTACTGAAGTTGTGGTATGTAAAACTACCACTTATATATGTGGTAGTTCCTACCTGATATGATAGTTAGCTTTTTTCTTCCTAATTAAATGAAGAGTATGTTTCTTGTGAGAGAATGAAGTATTAAGAATCCCTTGATGCTTTTCCAGAAGCATCTTGGCCATTTCTCTCTCTCTCTCCCCCCTGCCACCTTGGGTTACTGCCTTTTTATGCAGACTGGTTTTGTTGTTGCTGTCAGAAAAAAAATGCTCTTAAGCCTCATTTTCCTAATGTTGATCTGAAGAAGTCTCTCTAGGTTGGTGTCTGCTTTCCACTTATTGTATTGGTTCTCTGATACCTTCAAACCTTAGATATTCATTCTGAATTTTAGATAGGTAGGAATCCTTAAGTCAGGAATAGAACTGGAAAACATCTAGTATGTATACCAAGTTGAAAGTTGGGCTACAAGGTAAAAGCTTGAGAGGTGCTCATTTGGAGGGCATGAGAAAAATTAAGGATACAATCAAGACTGTGTTCTTTAAATCAACATGTTTTACCTCACCAGACAATGTCTTATGCTTCAGAATGCTAAGAGGTTAATTCTTCTGTTTCATATTCTAGGAGTCAAAACTTTAGCCAAGTGTAACAAATTTTTTCCCCATTTTACTGTTAAGATGCTTCAGTAGCATAACATTATGCCTTCTTGGTATCAAGAATACCACCTGGTACTGTCTTTCTGGTTTCTGTGGAGTTTTTGTTGAAGTGGTGTAACTGGTTGTTTGCAAAAGTTTTTGTGTTGGAGTTACATTGTTGGTGTCTTGTGTTTTGGAATAGAGTGTAGCTAGATACACTTCTCAGTTCAAGCAGTCAGAAACTTCTTGAGCTTTATCAGCTGTTTGCATCATAACAATATTAATTCAGTTTAATCCACTCATCCCCCACTTCAGCTGCTTCTTAGAACCTCCAGGTTTTTTTTCAGACTCCCATTACATTTGTTTATGGGAGATACAGACCTCAGAGCTATCTGAACTCATTTGCTATGTTTCCTGTTCACACACATTACTTTCATACACAGTTTCAAATGCTTAGATTGAATTTAAAAAGTGGCCTTGCCATCCCTGTTGATTGTCCTAATACCAGCTCCCACTACCAAGGACTAATACATAGTTTTTGTATGCTTCATTAGAATTCAGACAGGAGTGAAAGGGAAGCTTCCTTTGAAACTCTTAGAACAAAAGGACAAATTTTTGCTTTGTGTTGAAAACAAATGGCAGGTGTTTTATTCAAGCTAGAAATTCCTGATTGTACTAGCTGGAAGCTACAACTTCATAAAGTTGTAACTTGGTTGAACATGAGTGGTCTTACGATGGGACTTGAACTACAAAACAAGTTCTGAGATTTTGACAGTGTTTTGTGCATGAAAGGGAATTTCCAATGGTGCTTTGCTTCTGTATAATTCTGCAATAGGTTTGTAGGCACTTGCTGATACTAAAACAACAGTTTAATGCTGAATGTCAATTATCTAGTCTTTAAAAGAGCAAGCACAATGCTAACCTAAAAAAATTAGCTTCATGTGTTCTGCCAGTATATTTCTTAAAATACGCTGTAACTGTTTTGGATTTATGTTATAATTAACTACAGAAAAACAAGGAGGTAGATGTGTTTTCATTATTGCCATAGGGAATACTTAATGAATATCTCTGTTTGACTAACACTCATTGAAGTATTACTTTCACATATGAAAATTTCTCTTCTTAGCTTTAGACTGTAAACAAAAGAAGTCAAGGTCAAGATCCGGAAGCAAGAAGAAAATGCTGCCGTTACCTCATAGTGCTGATGAAGTTTACATACTCAGATGCAGGTACATAGTGTTGCTTTAACTGGAAGAATACATTCTTAAAAGCTTATGTCAGTCATAAAGAGTTTCATTATTGTATACATAAATGTTTGTGATTAAATTGAATAATGACGGGGAAAGGAATTGCCTGTTTTCATTAATTTGAACGAGAGGATTTGATTCAGTCACACCTGGGTGTTTGATTACCAGTAGTTTCTCTAGCTAAAATCTTGCTGATTGTGTCTGAGTAATATTCTGTCCTTCAAAAGAAACCTTATATAAGAAAAACAGATTGTTATTACTGGTATTGAGTGTGAGAATGTGAGTTGTATAAGCTTCAGGATTTTGTGCTCACAGTTACTACTAATGAACTCAATTACTAAGTTTTTCAGCTAAAACATGTACAAACAAACTTCAAGAAAATTAAGACTTTTCCTCTTACTGTCTTTGTTTTATAATTTTTCAGTAGAGATAGATGTATCTTGATGGATTAATTTTAATATTTGCATAGGTTTTGTGGTCTGGTCTTTCGAGGACCTTTGTCTGTTCAAGAAGACTGGATAAAGCACTTGCAGCGACACATTGTCAACGCAAATCTTCCACGGACTGGAGCTGGCATGGTTGAGGTCACATCACTACTTAAAAAGCCTGCTTCAATTACTGAAACTTCATTTTCTTTACTGATGGCAGAAGCAGCATCATAGAACGCAGAAACATTTTAAATTTTAATTGGATGTAAATTTGAAATACTTCATCATTTTTTAAAATAAATGGCTACACTAAATTATGTTTATAAATGCTTAAGAGAGAAAATAGAGGAAGTGGATTACAGTAACATCAAAATAAATTGAATACTTAACAGTTACAATAAGTAGTCTTTATATTTTATATAGGGTGGAAGATGTGTTTTTAAGGTTTATTATGTTTTTGTCAGTTACTGTGTTCACTATCAATACAAGACCATTATATGTATGGCAGCCATTTTTAAATTGTTGCACATGGGTACTTAAAGGAGATTTTAATAAAACAAAGAAACCACGTTCTCTTCAGTGTTACCCAAATCAAGGTTCTGTTTATTCCAAAAAGAATTACATAGTAAAATAAGATACTATTATATTTTGTTTGTATGTATGTAGTGTTTTGTATAATACCAAGAACTGCTAATACAATTTACTCAACTTAGGGCATTAAATACCATGTACTTCATAGTTCAAGAGACTGTTTCGTTCAAATAGGGCAATTAGTACTATTCTATCTAGGTGTGTAAGTGTTTTTTTTAAATCACATGAGGCTTTTTGTACTAAAAAGTGGAGGGAAACTTGTTTAAACAAATTTCTAAGAGAAATATGTACATAATACTGGAAATTTGTGGTAAGGAAATATTCTTTACTTCAGTTGCATTTCTCACTGACAATAAAGTGGTGCATCCATGCTACCTCCTACTTGTCAACAAAGATGGTATTTACCCTTATGTTTTTGTATCATAGTAGATTCAATCCAACTTTCTTTATTACAAAGCATCTTTTTGTTAACAAGTTTGTTACTTCTATGACAATTTACTTAAAGTCTGACTTGCTTACAGAAGTTTGCCTCTACTATTTTATTTAACACTGTAGAAATGTACTAATAAGCATTGCTCACTACACGGTTAGAGTAGGCTTTTCATTTATAATTCTGTTTAAAAGATTGATCATTTTAGAGAATTCAAACACAGATTGAAATGTTTCCACATATGAAGAGAATGTTTACAACTTAAATTTTAGAGCTTGTTTTGGATGTGATTATATGTATGAAAACTGTAACACTATGCTCATGCTAAGGACCTACTTACAGAATTATTAAAATAAATGTGCTGTGAGGATGGAAATATGGTGCAGGTGTCTTGGTCATGATGAATTGTGTTTGTTCATTTAAACTGTCTTCAGAACATGATTTTTGTTTAAATCAAATTAGATTCCTCTACAAATCAATTTTGTATGCAAGTAACATTTCATTTTACTCATATAGGGTAACAGATACTGTAGTTAAGCCAAGGATATGCATTGATATTTTCTTTATATGTAAATAAAGTTAAAAGCAGTTAAAGCAAGAGGAGTATTTTGGTAGAGTATATACATACCTCACTGCCAGTGAAATTGCTTTCCTATGGTATATCTCCTTACCAGAAAAATCTCTAAATAAAAAGGTTTAAAGAAAATATAAATGTCTATAATGTGAAGCATTTATTTGCATTGTGTGAATTAAGTTTGTGGAATTGGTTTGTCTTGCTTGAGATTAGAGACTTCTCATGATCTTAAGTAAAAGTACATTTACTTGCAATAAACTGAATTGTTCACAGATGCATTACATTTGATTGGTGGAAAGTATGAATAAATGTCTGTCTTCCTGGATGCACAGAGTTCAGAGTTAACACATGAGGCTTGTTAATGTTCTGATAGAATAGATGGGCTAAAAATGCACAACTGTGCAAGACAGAGGCCTCAGACAAGGCCATCCTAGCTCTGTCAAGGCTGTCATTAAATTAGTGGTGTCAGGTGTTTAACTGTACAAATTGCTACAGTTAAGTTTAGCTTTCTTGTTGAAATTTATTCTCTTGTAAGTGGAAAAATCTACATCATTACATTTAAAGTCTGGAGGAATAAATACTTTAGAGATTTTAGAAAAGGTAACTGGGATGTTGAAGTGTATTGCAAACAAATAGTGTATGCAGACTAACGAATTTGTGGATACTTGTGGAGCTTTTTTATACGATGTGAAAACTGGAGATTTAAAGCAGTGTGTTGAAACAGAATAGAGGGAAGTGATCACATCACCTTGAATGTTTATAATGCTTTAATAGAGTGCTTGTTTACCCTTCTCACCAAAAAAGGTGCTTGTGAGAGCACCATATTTTATGGCTGTTTAGCAAATGAAAAAATCAATTAAGTGCAAATGATATTTATCTAGTGTTGTTAAGAATGCTTGTAAGGTGAAGCCATACTGTGCAGAATTTTGCATTAGCAAAAGACTCTTACTAGATTCATAAAAATAATTTTTAAAACCCTAGTTAATTCTATTTAATTAATTAAGCCCCAGTTGTGAGCTACTTTATGTAATACTAAAATAAAAATGCAAGGTTGTGTCTGAAGAGCAGTGAGCTCTAGGCTGATCAGTTTCCAAAATGAGATTCTTTTGATGAAGAACAGTTTTCAGTGACAGGCTGTGTGCCCTGCTGGCATCAGATCCATGTGGTATCGTTCAAAAAATATGTAGGAGTTCTAGAACTCTTCTGATTATTAAATTAATTGTTTATGTGGTTGATACAGGCTGAAAAATCTTTTTTTTTTTTTTTTTTTTAATAGAGTACTATTAGCTGTTCTTAGCCTCTAGTCCTCAAGTGGGGCTATTTGTTTTCCTGGTTTCTGTTGTGTGGAAATACAGATATTTTTTATCATTATCTACAAGAAACTATAAATCCCCCTCTCTGGAGTTACCAAAATTCTAAATAATGTAGTAGAAGAGGGTAAATTAAATGGGTCACTTTGTGATGCCAGTCTGATGATGTGTGGCTTGAGGGGCTCTGGCAGTCTGTACTAAAGGGCTTGACTTGCAGAGTTGCTCATCTAACCACCGGTGTTAGTCTGTTCAAGTTGGGGTAAAGGCTGCGGTGGCACAGTGATTTCTGTTGGGTTGATTTTGGTTCTTTATGACAGTCCTACTCATTTCTGAAGTTTCCTACTCGTTTCTGAAGTTATCCTAGTATCTGGTAAAGGTCTCTTTAGTAGTAGCCTCAGGAAAATTGTAGACCACCCCCATACACTTTTCATAAGATGATGGCCTATATTCCCTAGTCCCAGTGATATTTCCAAATCAATCCTCTTCAAAAAGTAAAACTCTGTTTGCATTCCTTGAAAAGATGTTTCTGCAGAACCTTGGGTAGGTGATGCAAGCGCCCATGGTAGCTGCTGCCCAGGGGTGGTGTGTTCAGGCATGGAACGTGGGGGCCAGCAGGCAGCGCATGCCGGGCATTTACTGCGGTTTGCCCGGTCCTGCCCGTGTGTCCTGCGGGAGCTGTGTGAGGGGGCTGCTCCCAGGGCCGAGGGGATCCAGCTCTGCCCGCAGACCCAGCTTCTTCCTCAGGGCCCGCCCTCTGCAGGCAGCAGTGCCAGAGGGGAGCTGCGGGCCCTCCCGCCCGTAGGGGAGGGACTGGCCGGGGCACGACTGAGCAGGGAAGGGACTCACAGGAAGGACTGGCCGGGCCAGGACTGACCGTAGGGGCCGTAGCTGCCGGGGAGGGGGGAGTGAGCGAGTCCCGGGCTGCGTGCCTGTGCTCGTTCCTGCTGTCCCAGCCATGCTCAGGGAAATCAGCAAGCTGTTTGAGGTAAGTGATCACAGGAGAAACGTGAGTTATCAAATTGGGGCTCAGAGAAGAGCATCCAGAGTTTCTGAAGGTCAGTGTCACAGGGCTGAGATGGGAAGATGCAATGTTATTTTGACTGTGGTGCTTTTCCTGGGCTAGTTACGGTTCTAGGTTTCTTGCAGTGCTTTAAAGAGGGGTTATGCATTAAATCTACCTGATTCTGAAAATCTGCAGAAGATAAATTGGGCTGAACAAATGTGGAAATATTAGCAGTGAATAACAAGGACTTGCTTTTAACTAAATGGTTGTGGGCTGTGAACAAACCCTGTTTAGTTCAGCACTATGGTTAACAGAATTTTTCACTTTTTATAACAGTAGTTAGTGGCCTGGATATTTAAACACCAGTCTCATATTTTAAAAATTGATTTATAGTTTTGAGTTTGTTTAAAGAAAATCCCAAACTTTTTAGGGTGGTACTTACTTTAAAAAGCTGACTGCATTATGATTTGATATTTCAATCCACCATGCTTTGTAGGTGCTGTTGCCTGATTCATGGGTAGCAATTGTGATGTAATGGAAACATTGGCCATAGTGCCAGGTTTGTAATCTCTTGCAATAAAATGTTCCTTTCTAACACTGCAGGCTTCTTGGTGTTCTTCCCATTGCTCGGAGGTGAGCTGCACTGCTCGTGTCACTGCACTGGGGAGCTCCCCCCCAGCCAGAGCAGAGGGCAGACCTGCTGGCTGTAGCCACTTGAGAATTCAGAGAGGTGAAGCAAGGGGGGGTATTTACATGCCAGTGGTGGAAACTAAGGATGAAAATTGGTGCCAGGAATGCCACCAGAGCCAGGGACCCAAATCTGAAGCTGAATCCCAAGTGGCAGTGGCTCTCATCTGTGCCCATGTGCCCACTTTTCAGTCTGTACAGTCTGGTCTCACTGCTGCTTTCTCCCACAGTTAAGAGCAGGTTCTGCTTGCAGCTTTGGCTGCCATGTGTGCCTGGACAGAGCACACTGAATAACCCAGTCTGCCTGGTGCTCTGCAAGTCCTGGGCTCCTCCTGCAGCATGAGAGGATCCATTGCCACACCACAGCCATTCACACACACTGTAAGAGAAAAATGCAGAGGTTGATCAAACACAGCATAAGACTGTTGAGGGATGTGTTTGCTTTAAATAAGGGCTGGAGTGGGGATCCCTTCCATGTTTTGCTGAGGCTGAACTCTGGCACTGTTCATTTCTAGTTGCACTATAGGCTAATAAACTTGTGTTTTTAAAAAGCAATTAAGAAATCTCTTAACTTTAGTGCCCTTGTTAAGACTTGAGCACAAGTCAGCCAACAGCCTTTTTATAAAACTGCTTGGTAATACTGAGTATTTTTATCAAACTGCTTGGTAATACTAATTCCTCTACATCAAGTAGAGGAACCTTGTGGTCCAGTAGCTGGTGTGTGGCTGCAGTGCTTGCCCCTCAGGGAAGTGGTCCTGGCTGCCCTGGCTCATGGGCTCCAGAATGGCAGTGGAGGGGTCTGGGCAGTGTGTCACTGACTGTGGGTGGTTTGCACACATTTCCTGAGGACAGACATGGGGTTATTTTGGCTAAAAAAAACCAAACCCTGGAATAAAGGCATTCCTGTGGGAATGTTCTTTAAGTAAATGCAAACTTTTTTATAAAAGCCCTAAAAGATCTTTCTCATGTAGGCTCCCGTGCTCTTTTCACTGCAATTAAAACCCAAGCAAATGGCATTCTCACTAACTGTGAGCCCAGAGGTTCCAAAATTCCAGCTCTTACTGTACAGTTAGGGAACAAAGGAGCCTTGGAGCCTTTTCACCTTCCAAGGTGCTTGTACTCCTTATGTTGTATAAATCACAACACTTCTGGGCTTTCTGTACTATATTTTCACTCAAAACTACACTTTCAACTCATAAGGTCTGAGGTTTGTGTACCAAGTGATGATAGCCCTTCTGCTTTTGTATTAGAGACCTGCAACATGAAACATGCTTACATGATACTCATGGTAAGTGTTCCTAAATATTATCTACCTCTTTTTAAAAATCTGTTTATTGGAAACTGAAAACTTCACATGTAAACCTTTGATTATGTATCTGAGTCAGCAGCAGCTTGTTTATCTCTCTGTGAAACTCAGCCAAATCCATCCTCACTGCTGTAGCAACAAATGCTGAAGCTGTGAATCCCATTGTGCTCTTTAAAACAGCTTTGGAAAATAGTAGACTGATAAAGGGAAAACACACACCATTAGTCTGTGTTTTAACCAAATAAGGAATTGTGTGTCAGCCAGGTACAAGTCTTGCTGACAAGAAGTAATTCTTTCATCTGTCTTTTCCCTGAAAAAACTTAATTGTGTGAAAGTAGGAAAAAGAAAACAGCCTTATTTGGATAAAAAAGCAGGAGAAAAAAATCTTTTAAAAACAAACAAAAACCCCATAGGTTGAAGGAGAAACTGCAAAGAGGAGAAGACAGTATGAGCCTGGGGTTGACACCTGTTTTGAAATCTAGCTGATGGCTGCCTTTGCTGTGCCTCCAAAGCTTCAGGGGTGCACTTGGGCTCCTGGCACAGAGGAGGCTGGGGCAAATATTATCCTTAGAGGAACAGCCATGGAAGGAGTTGTCACCCAAAACTGTTAAAGAGATAGGCAGTGACAGGTAAGAGGCTTTAAATCCAATTTCTTGTGTTGGAAGTCAACTGTATCCATTCCCTTTGCCATCTGGAATACATTTACTGAAGCTTTGTAAGTGCTGCATATAAATCCATAGACACTTAGTCCAGTCATAAAATAACATTAACTGCTCTTCCCATGTATAGCCTCAGTGACAAATTTGCTACTGAAATCTGATTTTTCAGGTTCTGTTCATGAGACCTTGCCATTCATTGCCTCCAAAATTTTTCTCCTTTCCTATTTGGCATCCATAATTTTGCACCATTCTCTTGTCACTGAAATAACCTCCACTGCTAAACCCAGTGTTCTCTGACTGCAGCTGACCATGAGTGCTAATAAATGAGTGAAGACCCTGACCCAGAATATGAGTGTTCTTGCAGGATCCCAAACTCATTTCTTTGCCCTCAGGCCCAGGTTCCCATCTGGGAGCAGCACTTAGCCGCGTCTCACTGGGTGCTAACCTGACTGTTTTCATTATCTTCATTCCCAGCTTGGTTTGTTTTCCCCTTCCTCAGTTTTTGCTTATATCCACATCTGGGTTTTTGTCTTCATTTTTCATCTCTCTTTTTCTTTAGGACTTTATTTTACTGCTGGCTTGCAGTGAAGAAGCTTTTTGGGAAAGTCCTATATTACTGTGAAAACAGAGTACTGCTTAGTGTTCTTAAAAGCATAACTATTGGCCTGGTTTATGATTTATTTTATACAGAGACAGTAGCCCTCTGTACCCAAATGGAGGAGGAAATGTTTAGATTTTTAGGATGATTTTGGGTTACACAAACCAAAAATCCCAAGTTACACGGTACCAACCCTTGATACTGCTGCTGGAAGCTGAAATCATAAGTTACCTTTCTGTTTTGTCTGCACAGGGCTGAATTTACTGTCTTTTNTTTTTTTTTTTTTTTTTTTTTTTTTTTTTTTTTTTTTTTTCTGGCAGCCTTTCTGAAATCACAGAAGTATTTAGAAAATGGAGCACTTGCTTGAATGATTTTTTGTGAATACACAGCTGGCTGGGTTCTTTGAGCAAAGCAAAACAGGGGTATTAATAAAACCTGTTAAAAACACTGGAGATAGAATCTCAGCCCGTTTACTTTAAAACATAAATGCAATAGATGGCATCAAATTCTTAGGAAGTTAAACTGTGATTTCAGATTCAGGTGGAGAACTGTGCAAGAAGTATGTGAGCTGTCCTCTCCACTACCAGCAGCAAAATCAGCAGCCTACAGGTTTCTGTAATTTCCTGCATTGAGGAGCAGTTGGCACCCAGTTCATAAAGGGTGGGGAGGAGAGGTCAGCCCTGCTTCCCGGTTGCTCCTGCTGCAGTGTGTGTTGTGTGCTGGGCTGTGCAAGTTGTATGATGGCCCAGACTTTTCCTCTTGCTGCATTAGAAACTGAAAGCAGTGTGTATGTGACAGGAGAGTATCTACAATCTAGATGTGTGTGATACTTGCTGCTGTAGTACCCAGATTTACAGTGGATGCTTTTTTTTTTCCTCTTCTGAAGTGGAAGGTGCTTATCTTTCTGTGTCCTACAGATTTCAAACTTCCCTCCCACCTTAACAGATTAGGAATGTCAGTCCTGGCTGTGTGGTGCTAGGCACTGAGCTACAGTCCTGGTCTGAGAGAGATACAAGAATGGCCTGTGGGAGTTCCCAAGCAGTGAAGGCTGCATTTGAATTTAGGTGCTGTGTTGGGTTTGCAGAACAAGCTTTTGGTAGCAGGAGGGGTCACGGGGTGGTTTCTGTGGGAAGGCACTGGAAGTTTCACTTATGTCCCATGGAGCCATACTGGATGGCTCAGGATGGTCCCACTGCTGGCCAAGGCTGAGCCCGTCAGTGATGGTGGCAGTGACTCTGGGATAGCATATTCAAGGGTGTAAAAAGTGCAGCTTCAGCCTGAGGGAGAGGGAATACGTGAGAGGCACGGCTCTGCCGACACCACGGTCGGTGCCAGAGGGGCAGGAGATGCCCGGTGCCAGGGCAGATTGGGCACAGCTCCACCTGCAGCCTCTGGGGGATCCCACTCTGGATCCAGTGAATGCCTAAAGGAGGCTCTGACCCCATAAAGGACCTCTGCTGGAGCAGTTAATGAATGAAGAACTACAGCCTTTGGGAAGCACTCATGATGGAGAGGTTCATGGAGAACTGTCTCCCAGGGGAGGGACTCCACTCTGGAGCAGGTGAGAGTGTGAGGAGTCCTGCCTCTGCAGAGGGAGAAAAAGCAGAGACAGCCTGTGATGAACTGACTGCAGTCCTCATAGGGGAAAAGTTAAGCTCAGGAAAAATAGAGGGTGGGGAGAAGATGTTTTAAGATCTATTTTTCATTTCTCATGATCCTACTCTGATTCAATTGAATTCAAAAAAAATCAACTAATTTCCCAGAGTTAAGTCTCTTTTGCCCATTGGTGAGTGATTTCTCTCTATACTTATTCTGGCCCATAAGCCTCTTGTTATATTTCTCTCCTGTGTCCAGTTGAGAAGTGACAGAGCAGCTTTTGTTGGCACCTGTTGTGCAGCCAGGGTCAGCCCACCATGCAGGTGCTTTATTTCAGCTTTTTGTTTCTGAGAATTTGACCAAAGCTGAAAATATGTTCTGCTGTTGCTGTTATCACTGTTGTATAGAGAGAAAGCCTGACAGGTTTGGAATCACAATAAAAATTGAGCTGTTACAGAAAATTGGACCAGATGTATTCAAAGCTTCAAGTGCTTCATGTTTCTGCTGCCAGGAAAGAGCAGCACGTGCTGCCCGCAGCCAGAGCTGCTGTTTGCTGCTGTCACAGGGAGCTCATTTATTATCACAGCAAACCTCAGCAATGCCCAATTTTTTTTTAACTTTCCTTGCATGTACTTTCTCTCTCAGTTCCTTTCCCCTGCCCTCGGGACAGCGTTAGTTGTGTTGTTTTTAACTGGGAAGGTTCTTGTTAAAATTCTCTTAATTCCAGAAGACTTGCCAAGGTGAGATTTTTAC